ATACCATTACATTGAGACTGAAAATAAACTTGTGACTGAAAAGTTATCACTGAAAAAGTGAGAAGACATTTAAAGTTCCTGGAGACTATTGAAAATTGCGATATATGGGCCCGGCGCGGTGGCGCAAGTGGTTAAAGGTCCTCGCCTTGCACGCCTGGGATCCCATATGGGCGCCGGTTCTAATCCCAGCAGCCCCGCTTCCCTTCCAGCTCCCTGCCTGTGGCCTGGGAAAGCAGTCGAGGACGGCCCAAAGCTTTGGGACTCTGCACCCGCGTGGGAGACCCGGAGGAGGCTCCTGGCTTCGGATCGGCATAGTATCGGCCCGTTGCGCTCACTTGGGGAGTGAATCATCGGACGGAAGATCTTCCTCTCTGTCTCTCCTCTCTGTATATCCGCCTTTCCAATGAAAAAATAACAAAAATAAATCTTAAAAAAAAAAAAAAAAAGAAAATTGCGATATAGTTATCAAGCTTACAGGATCCTGAAGAAGCAGTACTGATAAGAAAACTTAGAGCAATCACTGTCTATATCAAAAATAGAAGACGTTTGAATAAATAACCTAACATTTCATTTAAAGAGCATACAAAGTCAAGAAAAATGCAATCTTAAAGTTGGGAGAAGGCAGGAAATTATAAAAATTAGTGAAAAAACAAAAAAATACTTTGTAATAAAGCATGAAGATAATGAATGGAAAAAAGAATTAGCTTTTTGAAATTATAAAATTCATGAGCAAACACTAGAACAAAAATAGAAAAATGCAAATTAATATAATTGTATAGAAATATTATTATAATTGATATTGTAAAAATACAAAGGAATACCAAGGAATGTAATTAACACTGTTCCCAAACAAAAAGGAAATTTGAAAAGCGTTGCAAAATTTGTAGGTATATGTAACTTTCTAAAATTTAGCTGCAAAGGCACAGAAAACCTAAAAATAATCAGTGCTGTGATTAAATTTGTAAGTCTCCTTATAAAGAAAAGCTGATGGCTAGGTAGATTTACTAATAAATTCTATCAAATTTTAAGGAACAAACAATGTGAATTCTTGAATTAAGTAAGAAAAAAAAATTGAGATGTAAGTAACTCATTAAAACTAATTCTTCCAGGGCTCGGCACTATAGCCTAGTGGCTAAGTCCTAGCTTGAACACACCAGGATCCCTTATGGGTGCCAGTTCTAATTTCGGCAGCCCTGATTCCTATCCAGCTCCCTGTTTGTGGTCTCGGAAAGCAGTCAAGGATGGCCCAAAGCCTTGGGACCCTGAATCCAAGTGAGAGACCCGAAAAGAAGCTCCAAGTCCCTGGCTTCAGATCGGCACAGCTCCAGCCATTGAGGCCACTTGGAGAATGAACCATTGGATGGAAGATCTTCCTCTCTGTCTCTCCTCCTCTCTGTATATCTGTCTTTCCAATAAAAATTAAAAAAACAAATTTTTTTTAAATAAAATAAAATAAAATAAAACTAATTTCGCTATACTAATATTAACTTGAATCCATGACCATCTAAGAACTTAGAAGGGAAAGAAAGACTATAAGTCAATTTACCTGAAGAATATGAATTCAAAAGTTCTCAACATAGTATTAGCAAATCAAAACTTATAATGTAGCAAAAATACAGTCTCATGTTATTTTGTTTCCTTGCTCCAAGAATGTAAGCATGAGTCAATACATGCAAATCAATAAATGTAATATGTCACATCAGTAGAATAGGGTAAACATATAAAATATGTACAATTAAAAAAATCTTGCAAAAACTAGTTAGAAAAGGAATATGCATTAATATAATAAGAGCCATTGACATCATAAGATGTGGGGAAAAGCTGAAAGCATTTCCACTAGTGTCAAGAACAAGAAAAGCAGTTTAAACTACCCCCTTTACATGTCAGAATGCTGGTGTGATCCTGGCCGCCTGCTTCTGAGTCAGCTCCGTGCTAATACATCTGGGCAGGCAGCTGAAGTTGGTCAAGAACTTAGGCACCTGTTAATCCTATGGGGGATCCAGATTGCTAGCCTCCTAGCTTCAACATAGCGCATTCCCACCCAGAGAAACCATTTAAAAAATGAAATCCTCTAAAACATGATTATCATTTCAAATCAGAGTCCATAGGAATAGTCTGCATAGTGCATTTCCACCCATTGCAACCAGAGAGTGAAAAACCCCACTGCATTTCTATCGTCTGTGCTTTTACTTCTATCTCAGACTCACTCTCCCCTCTGTTGGTCTGTCTTTCAAATAAACAGAGTGCATCTTTTAGTGAAATGGTTGTCGCTTGATCTCCCCTTGTGTGTTTTACTGTTGAGAATTTTTTTTCTTTTTTTTTTTTTTGTGCTCAATAAATCAGTTCTCTTTCAGCCAAAATAAAGGTAAAATATGGGGCTAACCATGTCATTTAGACTCTTAGTCTGTATTGTGTGTCTTGGTACTTTTGCCCATAATGAGAAGCCTTTTGATTTATGGGCTATATACATCAGACTTGCCCTTTGCCACTATTTTACTTCTCATATGTTCTCCAGTGTTTCCAAAATGATTAACAAAGTGTGCCCTATCTGTAAGGCCTTATCAACAGAAAACCTTTGCCTGGGAAAGCAGCTGCTGAGGCTTTTGAAGTTCACAGCTCAGGACTTGCATAAAATGGCCTTGGCAGTATTTTGCTTAGGAGCAGCAGAATCAAACTTACTGGCCTGTGTGAAATTTGATTAACTGAAATCTCATCAGTCCTCTTGCTGACCACATCCCCTGAAACAGGCAGCTGGGCTCCTGGGCAGCTGTGTGACGAAGCAGAACTGAGCCAGCTGTCAGCTCGCTCGCAGAAGGGGACCCTCTAGAGTAGAGGACGGCTCTTGGCAATAGCAGCACTGCGTTAGAGTGTAAACCCAGCTTTAATCGTTCCATGCATTTCAACTGCTTTGTTTTCTCAATCTTTCATCATTTAATAAATGTAACTGGTTCTAGTGATACTTTGACAACATTGGTTTAGTTTGCAAACAGGCTAAACAGGCACATGCTTTTACAAATCCCAGGGATGATACAAGTTTAACTCAGAGATAACGATCTTGTGTTATAATCATTCAGCTCACTCAGAATGGCTGCAGAAATATACCTGCTTCTACACTTCATTTTGGCAATCAACGTTTGGGCATAAACAATTGAACTTAGGATGATGATACAAGCATCCAGTAGGACTTGTTAAGATCCTCTAAAAAGTGACTATTGTTTCAAATCAGAGTCTATACGTACAGTCAATAATGAAAGGATCATTTTAGGTTGTTAAATGTAACCCTTAAAGCCACTATTTCAATCATCATTGCTTATTTGAAAGAAATCACTCAACTGAGCTATCATTTTTATTTTAATCAATTCCACCTTGCATCTAAGTAATTCTTAAATATTACAGCTAAAACACATACAATTAGAAAGAGATTAAATTTCATGGACCTTTCACTACTGGGTTTTATGACATGTAGTTTCCACATTATATTTAAATTGGTTTTCATTTATCCAAGGAATCATTAACACACTAAGAACCGAATCAGATGAGTATAAACAGTTAATGTAACTTTTAATAGATGTTATTGTTATAAATGGAACATTGTTTTTATCAGCATATTGATAATATCAGTTGATTTAGCAACTATTTTAACTTAAAACAGACAAAAATATTCTTTTATATTTTACACCAATTTGGAAGCACCCTGATGTCCAAAGATACCTGAAGCAAAATTAATAAATGATCTCTTCGCTTGAGAATGTATTAATAAAATGTAAAAGAAATGAAGCAAAAAGGAGAAATCCCAAAGAAACAGTAAAATATACCTTGACAAAATGATGATCAATTTTGTATATCTGTCTACATGTACAATGCCGTGATGCACTTAAATAGCAGAATTGTTAGCAAAGGACCAAATCACCGTGATGATATGAAGGGAAAGGCTGGGAGGGGAAAGAGGAAAAAGGGAAAAAGGGGAGTGGAATGGGGGGATCCCTATACAGACACTGCTGTTTCATGGAAAAATAACAATAAAAACTAAGAAGATGTGCATTAAGAATATGTCTAAACCATGTCTCCAAAAATACTAGAAATCATTGTTTTACTCTTTGTTTGTGTTAGAGTGATCTATCATATTTTAAGTATATTATAAATGTGTAACTAAAAGAGTATGAGACGGAAGAAATTGTGTTTTATCCAACTTTTTGCTTAGGCCAGGTTGAAATGATTATTTCATATACTCTGCGTATTCATGTCTAGTTCAGGATGCATATATAAAATTGTGAATATATAACATATGCATCAAAAATTCAGCAGGAACTCGTATTCTGCCAAGTTACACAGTGTCCTCATTATTTCATACATTTTTAAAATCAGTGTATTAAAAATCAGCAAGAATTCTGTGCTTGCTTTCCACGAAGTACTCACTATTCAATATTGTAGGCATTAGGGGGGATTTCATCATCTTTAATCCTCACAGAAACGTTGTAAAGTAAGACCCTGGTCTTGCTATTCATTTACATTTATAGAATGAAGCAGAAATCTTAGTAAAATTTCAAACTATCGTGTACCTAGCAAGTGACACAGCCAGACTCCTACCCCTGACAGACTTCTCATGGCCTAACAACATTTCTTATCAAGCTGATTAGAAATTACCTGTTTCCCTCCTTCATCATATCAGCTTTTTGTCATTAAGCATTATGGAGATAAGTTAACAGATAGAAACTTAGACACCTGCAATGAAAATATTGTCCTGAATAAACCCTTGAGTTTCCAGTAATATTTTAAAATGTGGCAAAATACAAAATTAATATGCATATGAAAGTTTTTGCATGCTATATATATGCACAATAATAATTAACAATGTGCAGAAGAAAATATCTGGACTCAGGTATAATAACTGTAAGATGATTATAGAGTTTGCCAACTTTTTCTCTTATTTTGAATTTTATGGTAATATTATGCAGGGTCTGAGACTCCCCCCCTCAAACTCCCTCCCTTCAACTGATTTTAAAAAAATGGAACACTTCACAAATTTGCATGTCATCCTTGCGCAGGGGCCCTGATAATCTCTTAATTTTTTCCGATTTTAGTATATGTGTTACTGAAGCAAGCACTTGACAACTTCTTAAAACAGTCAAATATATCTTTTAATGGAACTCTACTTCTTTTTCCTCAGTACTTCATAGACCAAACAATTTATGCAATAGCAAAAAATAGTAAAATATAGCAAGTTTTATTTACCAAATTTTTATAAACTAAGCAAACCTAAAATTTCTGGCTGCCTAAATCCAGGCATGAAGAAATCCAGCATTAGGAGCTTTTAGTTCTCAATTCTAAAATTAGGATGACAGAAGACAAAATGTGAACGTTTTAGCTATTAGTAAAAATGTACTCTTGGTTTTCAGAGGTTTAGCTTTAAACATCCTAAGAAAAGATAATTTTTGTTGTCCAGGAGAAGAATAAAATACTCAAATAAATGTGTGTGAAGGTAATCATTCAGTATAAGCCCAATTCAACTCACCTGAATTTGAGTACTAAATAATTCCTGGAAAACACTTGCTTATGTAATCCAACAGAAAGGAAAGGTAACACATGTCCCAAAGAATAATCATAATTCTTATCAAGAAATTTATTAAAGTGATGTATCAAAGTTACCATACATGCAATAACATTTTTATTCACTGATTATATAATTGAGTAAGCTGACGTGTTTGTGTGTGTGTGTGTGTGTGTGTGTATACGTATAAGTTTCTATTAGGTTTCGCCAATGACAATCAATAAAAGAGTGTCTGGTCAATTTAAAGTTTATTATCTAAATCTAGTTTCCTGGGTTGCAAAGTTTATACTATGCTTTATTTCTATACTGTAAAATAGTGACATGCTAACAGAATTATTTTGCTTGTGGCCCATAGCTGAATAACCTTCTGGCCTGTTTCTTTGAACTCTTTCTATTTGTTCTTTCTAAACATTTACCTGAAAGTTGAGAAAATAAAGTCTCTATACTTGGCATGGTTGAATAGTAATTCTTAATGGAAAAGTCTAGCAATATGTCTTAGGAAAAAATTGAAAGAAGTAGTAGCTAAAAGTGAAAGGGCAAAGTTTAAAGTTATTCAATTTCTGAAAACCTTACAAAAAAAAAAAGGATAATACATAGAAGCTTCCTAAAAATATAGTAAACAGTAATAACAAGTAGGTTTTAGGAAACAAGAATACAGTTGCCAAGTCTCAATTATGGATACCTCATTTGAATTGAATATCTGTTATTTGAAAGGCATGCTTTTGTATGTTCATAGAATATGTCCCTTCTTTCAAAATAGTATATCTTATGACAGAATCAACTAAACAAGTACTTGATGTAATGAAAAAATATTATAATTATGTTCACAGAACATCACTGAATATTAATATAGAGAATATAGAAAAATGGTACCTGACTTGACTAAATACACGGTATACACATAAAAAAGTCCTGATTTGATATTTAACAGGGTTTCTTTTACCTAACTTTATTAGTAAAAATAAAAGCAAAAATGGGGAAAAATGTGGTTGTTGACACTTTCAAAAATGTGATTGCTTAGGGGCAAAACCAGGATTAAATCCAGATTTATCCTGTCATATTGAGTTTACTTTTCCTCATTCCTTTTCTTTTAATATTTATTTATTTTTATTTTAAATATGAGATTTTTACAAAGAAAGAAAGGGCCACAGAGAGAGATATTCCATCCACTGGTACATTCCCCAAATGTATGCAGTGGTCAGAGATGTGCTGATCCAAATCTGAGATCATTTTCTTGAACGCCTGCATGGTGTAAAGGCCTCAGGTTATAGCCCACGATTTTCCCAGGATTAAAGTGGAAAGTTGGATCAGAAGTGCAATAGTCAGGCCATGAACTGATGCTCATAAGGGATGCTGGATTTGCAGGTAGAGAATTAGCTTGTTAAACCACTGTGCTGTCCCCTCTTCCTTTCATTTATGATTAAAAATATTTTTTTAAAAAAATCTTATTTATTTTTATTGGAAAGTCAGATATACAGATAGAAAGAGAGATAGACTGTGAGGAAGATCTTCTGTCACTTTATTTACTCCCCCAGTTGCCACAATGGCCAGAACTGAGCCAATCGAAAGCCAGAAGCCCGGAGCTTCTTCCAAGTTTCTCCTTTGAGTGGAGGTTCCCAAGGCTTTGGGCCGTCCTCAACTGCTTTCCCAGGCCACAAGCAGGGAGCTGTATGGGAAGCAGGGCTGCCAACATTAGAACCAGGATTCATGTGGGATGCCAGTTCATGCAAGTCAAGGACTTTAGCCACTAGGCTACAGTGTCAGGCCCTAAAAATACTTTTTATAAACATGCTATCCTACAAATATAACTCTTCACAAAATTTTAGGATCTAAATCTTTTTAATTCAATCAGAAGATCAGTTAATTAAATTAATTATTGCTCTGATTGATGCAAATAATGCATCCCATAATGTTTTTTCTAACATTTAAACATCTCAGGACACATATGTCAAAGCATTTGGGACAAATGGCACTGCTTTTGTTTTCCTGCATGCAATAGTCAAATTATTTGATAAAATACATTGAGATAAGTTAGTAGTATATTTGATCATATAGTAACTAACAGAAGATCATCTTAATATTAATATAACAATCAGATTTGAAGTATAATATTAAAATATAATTTTATAAACTGCAAAACAAACATCACTGTGTAACTAGTAAGATCTTCATATCCAATACAATTTTATCATGAATACAGAATTGTTCTTAAAAGCAGTTTAGTAAATATTGTAGACAGATACACAAAAAAGTTCCAAACAGAAAATTCATATAGAAAGCAAAATAAAGCCTTATTACATAGATATATTTAAACCAAAGTATATTACTGCCAAATTAAATTTTCTTAATGCAATCAAACTGCAAAAATTAGTTAATGTAAATATTGGCTGTACAAAATGTAGGTTGAGGACATCAACTAAGTAGATATTTCATTTGGTAATGTTTGTACTACAAAATGTAACAATTACAATGAAAAACAATTTAATCATTCTTTTTGGAGGCAGGCATTTATCTCCCTATGATCAACCACCTCATTTCTAGCTATTCAATAGTAATAAACCTATGTTCACATGAAGATGTGTGCAAAACAAATAATTATACAGCTGAGAAAGAAATTATAAGCACAGTCCTCTTTAAAATAGTGAATAGAAATCTTAAATACCTAGGAATTAAACTAACTAAATATGTGGAAGACCTGTATGATGAAAACTATAAGACATTATAGAAAGAAATAGAAGGATTTGTAAAATGGAGAAGCTTTCCACGTTTCTGGGTTGCCAAGATCAACATCATTAAACTGATGGTATTACCAAAAGTAATACACAGATTCAATACATTCAAAATTACAACAACATTCTTCTCAGATATGGAAAAGATGTGCTGAGCCTGAATCAGCAGCGACAGTGACGGCTCAGCTGTGCGACGCTCAGGGCTTGAGTTCCCCAAATGAATCACCAAGAATTTGACACAAGGATGGTTTATTCAAGCTGAGCATGTAAGTGTGTGGACTTCCAACCATCAACGATGCAGTGGTTCTTGGTTGAAAGCCATTCAGGGTGGGGAGTCTGGGCTCCCAGCCATCCCAGTTGTAATGGCTCAGGACTGGGAAGTGCTGAGACTGAATGGTGCAGGGCTTTTATTAGATTCTCAGGACAATGGTATACAATAGCTGGAAGAGGGGCAAACCAACGGCCTGCAACGTGAGGAGGGAAACAGCAAATATTCACTACCTATCTCAGCTGGATAGTCCATGTTTGACTCTCCTCTGGTCCAGCAATTAAGGTAACCAACCACTTAATTACTTGAAGCCACCTGTGAGATAACCAGACGTGTGCCTTGATTCATGAGAACTGGAGCCCATCACATAGGACATTTTGCCTGCAAGTTCACACAGTTTCTTAGTAGCAATGAGCCGAGAACAAATAGAGATTTTGATTCTGAGGTTCCTTCATCTGGAATCACAAGAGACCATGAATAGCAAAAGCTATCCTGAAAATAAAAATCAAGCTGGAGAAATCACAATTCCAGACCTTAAGACACACTACAGAGCAGTGGTCATCAAAACAGTTCGGTACTGGCACAAAATCAGAGAAGATCAAAAGAACAGAATAGAAACAGGAGTAGAGAGCTCATTCATGTAAAACCAACTAATTTTTCACAAGAAAATTGAAAATAATCCAGGGAAAAGGCCTGATGTTTTCAACAAATGCTGTTAAGACAACTGGATAGCAGCTTGCGGAATTAAGAAGTAAGATCCACACCTGTCACATTACAAAAAAAAATAGCAAGAAAGGAAAAAAGGAAGAAAGAAAGAAAGAAAGGAAGAGGGAGGGAGGGAAGGAAGGAAAGAAGGAAGGAAGGAAGAAAAAAATAACTTGTGTTCAAATGGCAAATAGACATATGAAAAGATTCTCAGGCTCCCTAGCCATCAGGGAGATAAAAATGGAAATGACACTGAGGTTGCACCTACTACAGTGAGACTGGCATATATTCAGAATTCTACTAACAACACCTGCTGGCCTGAATTTAAGGAGAAAGTTGCTGTCGTTCACTCCTGGTCAAAGTGCAGGCTTGTACAACGATAGAAATTAGTATGGAGAGTGATTGGAGAATTGCCAATACAACTGCCATATGACCCAACTATCCCGCTCCTAGGAATATACCCAAAATAATTGAAAACGGATTATGAGAAGGTGACCTGCAATCCTATATTTACAGCAGCACAATATATAATAGCAAAGAAAGAGAAACAATCCAGATACCCGTTGGAAGAGTAGTGGTTAAAGAAACTGTGCTGCATCTACTCAATGGAATATTACTCAGCAGATAAAAATAATATTATATCTTTTGCAACTAAATGGTCTCAACGAAAGACCATTATGCTCAGTGAAATAAGTCAATCCCAAAAGGACAAATACTGTGTATTCTCTCTAATATAAGGAAACTATCATGCAAATTATAAGTTCAATAAGCCTTTTCATACTGTTGTTAGCCACATCCAATGTATTTTGATATATATATATATTTAAATTTCATTTTTATTTTTTTCAAATACTT